CCAACCAGACTGCTAAATTAGACCAGAGAAAAAGAATATTAGGCTAATTTGTTATATTAATTAATTGATCATTATTCTATCAGATTATCTGAATTAGAAGTTTGGTAAAAGAAGTAGAGTATACTAAAGTATTAGAGATATACTATAAAGTAGATGCTAAGGTCTAGATAAACTTTGCAAAAGTATAGCAGTTTAATGATTAACCCTAACTGCAAATATTAGTTTTGCTATAATAATACTTAGATTAGCTGCAAAAATAAATATATAGCAGGTTCTAAAAAGTTTATCTTAAGGATAAAAATGTTCTAAGCTTAAGATGAAGAATCTAAACTTAACTTAATAAAGTTAACATAGAACAGATTTAGAAGCTTTAAAATAGAACATCCAAGCAGAAGGTTAGATACAGCAATTGGTAAAAAATATTAGACAGACTCCTTAAATAAGTAATATAAAAAGTTATATAAGTAATCAATTTTACGCTCTTTTTGTAGTAACTCTTTATAAAATTAGATTTTTAAAAATATGTTAATAAAAGTCAAAAAATCTAAGAAGTCATCTTAATATCAAAAAAAAATAAATAAATTTTCTAAGCTCTTAATATCAGATAAAACCTAACTTAATATATTTAAAATTACAGATATATAAATTCAATTGATTAGCAAAAAACAATTATTATAACACAAATATAATATTCAAATTTTATCATAAATAGGATTTGAACATTAAAACTGCCACTTAAAGGTTAACAACTTATTAACTACTCAAAGTTATTACACTTTGTCTTAAACTTATTATTTAAAAAAATAATTATAATGCTTATTATAATATTTTTACTTTATTTTAATTAATAAATTTATTACAAAATTTGGATTTATTACTATATATTTTAAAATTAACAACTCATTCTCTCATCTTTAATCCACATTCTGATTTTACAGTACTTTATAATTGTTTTAACCTTTCTTTTTTAATTTTATTAATTATAAAATAAACTTTTAATATATACAATAGATCAAATATCCAACTAATCTCTCATATATAATTACTAATATTCAAACATAGATAAACCTTAACCATTTTAATTAATTTAGATAACAGATAAATTGGTCTGAACCTTTATCTTTTCTATAATATTTTAAAAATAAATTTATGTTTTATGTAAAAATCTTAATAAAAATATAAACATAACAAAAATTGATATAATTTATGACCTTTTTTAATATAATAAAAATTATAATACCAATTCTTTTTTATTAGCATTTAATATGATCAATATAACTATGTTCAAAAATCATAAGATTATATGACCAAGGTCATATAGAAAAAAATGGTATGACTTAGATTATCGTCAACACTGGTCACCATAGTTTATAGAATTCGTGACGATCATTCGTGTCACAATTTACATAGGTTATGTGCATACACCGGATTTTTATCACAGGCAATTGGAGATTGCAGCAGATATATATTCAAGATTATTTTAACCATATATAATTTTTGGTGTAAATGAATAAAAAAGCATTATATTATTTATTGAACATTTTGTGATAACGATTTATAGTTTTATATTCTTAGCAAGTTATATCCGCTAATGACTTTTCCTAAGACTAGCACTAACAAGATTTAAAAAAGTCAGCGTGAGTTTTTTGGCAAAATGAATCTGTTAACTTTTTCTTCCTTCTGGACAAGATTATTCTAAAGAAACCAACGTGATGGTGTTTTTGCAAAGCGCATTTCTTAATGCTTCTTTTCCTTTTTGTCCAAAGGCATTATTATTAAGATCCAAATATTTTAGCGTAATGTTCTTGCAAAGTGCATTTGCTAATGCTTTTCCTCCTTTGGATCCTATATTATTATTATAAACATTCAAAGAAATCAATGCAATATTCTTGCAAAGTGCGTCTGCTAATGCTTTTCCTCCTTCTGATCCAAGATCATTATCACGAAGATCCAAATATTTTAGTGTAGTGTTCTTGTAAAATGCATCTGCAAACACTTTTCCACCTTCTGGTCCAAGATTATTACGAGCAAGGTTCAAAAAAGTTAGCGTGGTGTTCTCGTAAAGTGCATCTGCTAATGCTTTTCCACCTTCTGATCTAATGTTATTATGCCGAAAATCTAAAGAAGTTAATTTGGTGTTTTCGCGAAGCGCGTTTGCTAACACTTTTCCTCCTTCTATTCCAAGATTATTACAACCAAGATTCAAAGAGGTCAGCGTAGTGTTTTTGCAGAGTGCATCTGCTAATGCCTTTCCTCCTATTTGTCCAAGATGATTAAAATTAAGATTCAAAAAAGTCAGCTTAGTGTTCCTACAAAGTGCATTTGCTATTTCTTTTCCTCCTTCTGATCCAAGATTGTTTTTCTCAAGTTTTAAAGAAGTCAGTGTGGTGTTTTTGCAAAGAAACTTTGCCAACTTTTTACTCCCTCCCTTACCAATCCGATTACCACAAAGATCCAAAGAAGTTAGAACAGTATTTTTATAAAAAGCCTTTAAAAGTGTGTTCAAACCATCGGACCCAAGTCGATTGCATCTAAGATTCAAAGAAGTCAGAGTAGAATTCTCATGAATGATACTTACTAATTCATTCAATACCTTAGTTTTAAAACCATTATCAATATTATTTAATTCTATAGAGGTAACGGTACTGTTCTTACAAAGATCCTTACTTATTAATCGATTGCAAATAAATTTGTTAATGTTTAAATGTCTAAGATTATGGCCAGTTCTTAGAAACATCGCGACCAATGAACAACTAACAGCATATTCTAGTTCGGATCCTGTTTCATATTTTTTTTGACGAAGCCAATTTCTGATTCCATCATATAAAGAATTGCAGATATATTTAATGTAACTTGTATATTCAAAGATCGGTTTTGGGCGGCTTGGAAGTGTAATGTTAAATGGGATTAATTGAGCTTGCTCTTCAGCGTTTAATATTAAAAGGAATATCTCTATAAGTCTGATATCCTCAAAGTGCCGTGCCGGTTCGCTCCATAGTATTGGAATAATAATTCTGCACAATTCACGATTCACGAGTGCACATAAAAATAAGGTTTTATAATCAAGGTTATTAAAGATTATATAAAGACATTCAATCGGAAATGCTATTATATTCATCATACTGAAAAAAAACAAACATTAACACGATGTTACTCAATAGAAATAATAGAGAGGGGATCAAAAAAATGACAATTTTTGATCCAAACGCTGATCGACACAATATGAACTAAATCGAGCTAAGCTTGATTTTTTTTTGATATGTAAAATTATAAAGGGGAAAGAGATGTAACTGCGTTCTCTATTATCGTTATGGATATCCGGATGTAACTAATACACACGGGTTTATATCCAAACCACGTGGCCGAGGGCCACATAGCTTGAATATAAACTCGTGTGTAATTAGTTATCCATATAATTACTATATTATCGTACGGGTCTGACGTAACAATCCGTGCTCGCTTCTTTTAAACAATCTATTTAAATTATTTAAACTTATTTTGTTTATAATTACTTTTTCTTATTCCTTGTTCATAAAACTTTTGGTACATTTGAGTTTAGTTATTTGTTTTAAAGAAATTACTAGATTGTTATAAATAAATATATATATATATATTAACTTTGGTGACATTGCTATTTGATTTATTAAGTTCTGAATTTGATATAGTGCAATTTACAGTTACATTTACAGGATTAGTGCTATATTTACTATCCTAATTTTACATCATTGATTTCACTTGGTTACCTATATGGCACTTAAGTCTATATTCATCACATGTCTGTATGCAGTTATCTTGACAACTATTTGTGATTAGAGTGTATTATTAAACTGCTACATAGACAAGGATATTTTTCAAATTTAATCATATTTATATGTCTCATTTACATATTATTTTTTTTTAAATATTAATGATGAGATCATGTTTTTAATTTTATTGAAATTCAATTGAAGTTTTTACAAAGAAAAGTTTGTTTTTAAATTACATATAAAGAATAAAGACTCAGACATATAACTTGCAATTTAAACTTACAGAAGTGATCAAGACTTATCTAGATTTAGATATTAATAATAATATAAGAAAGAGAATTATAATATTTAATCTATTGAATAGTTTAAAGATTAATTTTAATAATAATTTATAGTATTAAAATAGAAGCTAAAAATAAACTAAAAGAAGAATTATAAATTAAGTTAGTAAAAGACATGATTTGAGACTGTGTAGAATATGAAATACAATATAAAATTCATATTTATTTGTATATTTATTAGTTTAAATGAAGAAGAAGTTTAATAGAAAAAGAAGTAGTAGTATAATAAAAATAGAAGTATTCTGAATAATAGAAATAAAATTAATAGAAACTAATTCAGATAAAATAGAAATAAGAGATAGTATATATAAAAACTTGTGCAGTTCAGAACTATTAAATATAAAAATTTTTTTATACAAATCAAAAACAAGATTGATGAACATGCCAAAAATAATTATATTTAAAATGCAATTCAAAGAATTAGAAACTAGATGATAAATAGTTTGAATAGAAGAACAGATAACTTAGTATAATAAAAAATTAGTTTGATTATATTGATATCAAGAAGAAAAATATAAAGAGTTACATTTGTAAAGAATATAAGAAACAAGTAGTTTATTCGGAAGAATTTTAATATAAAAGGTTTTAAAAATAGAGAAATAAAAGTTGTAAACAAAGTTAAAGATTTTTTGATTATTATTAATATAAAGCCAAATGTTTTCCTAATTAATATTAGATGCTATCATAGATTATTATTAAAAGCAATATTACAGTCTAGTATTTTATCCAATTTGGAAATCAGATCTAGAATATTTCAAATTATATCTTAAAATCTAATTGATAAATAATCATCCTTATTAATGCAATCCTATGAACTTTGTAACATCAAAAATAAATTTATTCAATTTTTTAAAAAAACTAATTGTTAAAATACATTTTTCAAAAACTATAGTTTAAGAATTTATAAGAATCCATGAAAGTTTATAGTATAGTTTTTTTATTTTTGCTTAAAATACATATATATTCATATATAGACATAGTGATTTTGAGAACAGAAACCAAAGATTTACTTTGTTTGTTTAACTTTCTTGCTAATGATTACCTAAAAAGTGAGTTGGCAATATGTAAAACTTCTGAAAAGCAAAGGTGGCAATATGCAAATACTCTTATAGTCAAAAATAAAGCCAAAGGTTTGATTAAATATCTTTCAAAATTATTACTATTATTTATTTATTTATTTTTTTTATAGTTAAAGTTTCTGTCTTGGAAGATGTGATGTTTTTATTCAAGTATTATAGAACATAGCATGCCTTCAAGGGCTACCAATACATTGGAGGTTACAACTAGCCACACATGCACTTTTGGTGCCTAATTTAAGTAGTCTGCTTACACATTACTATATAAGTTCTATACTAGTTGCAATATCTGCAAGTTGACTAGGAGTCTTGCTTATTTAAATCCTCTGCATATGCAGCTCTTCTTGTATTATGAGAACATCTCAAGGCTAAACCCATTCAAGTTTCTAATACTTGTCATTACCCTTAGGACTACTTTATCCTCGACAGAAAACTTACTAGAGCCTTTATGTCCCACACATAAAGACCTAGTTTTATGCAATATGCTATAGTTATCTAACACTTGCAATCATAGGAGTTACCTGTTTAACTGCTACATTACACTATTTCTACCCTTGTAAAGTTTACTAGAACCCCAATACCTATCTTTCTAGTATCTTTTCCATCATTCCCTACTAGCCACAACTCAGAACTGTTGGTCTCATTTCAGACTACCAATTCAGATGGTCCAGTATGGTATACTTTTGTATTTTTTTTTCTCTAGTGAATCTGGTGGCCTGGTTGGTTATATGTTCTTCTACACATATTTGTCATTTAGTTTTAATCTTCGGTTCCTATGAAGGTATTTCATAAGCTTCAACTGGTCTGATGATACTGTCGAAAGTTCATACTATCTCTTTACTTGAGAATTTCCAAGTAGGTTTTCATCACTTTAGTTCTTTAGTCTTCTATGTCCAATGGTCTAATCATGGGTTTGCACTGAAGTCTTATGCAACACCAGTTAGCCTTCCTCTATGTATATGTAACATTACACTTCACATAGATGTCTAAGCTTCCAATATCAGTAGGACCTGACTTGGTATACCTGGATTACAACCACATGAGGCCAACTGATTGACAGAAGACAGTTACTATATCACAGATATTATTTCCAAATTTCGTCATAGGTGGAATTTGAACCTTAGACCTGCCACTTGGAGAATGACAACCCAACTACTACACTAGGATTGCCATCCTCATTACTATTATTTAGTTCTTTGAATGATTACTTTGTATATTAAAAATATTATAACAATATAATCATTAAAAATTTTTTTTTTGAGCAAATAAAAAAAGTTAATAATTCTGTTTTTTATATTCCAATAAAAAAAACTAAAAAAACTTTTGTCTGATAATGAAATAAATTTTTGTGATTTTAAGATTCAAGTATTGTTACTTGAACATTTTTATGATTTTAGAATCCAAGTTTTATTACCAAATCTTAAATATAAAAGTCTTATTAAAAAAATTAATAAATTAGAATATTTAAATCAACAATTACTATTTGAAAATAATTTGTTAAAAAAAAGTTAAATAATAAATATAATAACCAACAAGAGCATGTTAAAGCTGTTGTAAAAATTGCCAAATAAGACTGAATTGCCTTGTATAATGATGTTATTAAATTAATAAATAACTATAAACACTTTTGTTTAAATAGTTTCTTAAATTATTCTTTATCTCAATGACTTATGATGTATAATCCAGTTGTAATAAAATTTATAAATACTTTTATACATAATAAAATAAAAATCATTATAAAAGAGAGAAACTTTTTAAATATACTGTAGCAATAGATAATATATATAAAATAAAATATTTAAAATATGTGTCTTCAATTAATTTAAAACTATCAGCAATAAAATACTCTATAGCAAAGTCTAAAATGATAATTGATATTAATAGCTATATTATAAATACTAGTGGTTTTACCAAATTTATTAATTAGTAAGAAACTTTAACAGGTAATTTCCAAATAGTTTAATATTTATAGCATTTAATAATAAATAAAAAGACTAAAAAAATTATTTAGATCATGAATATAATAAAGTGATCTTTTATATGATCATTAGTTTTGTTTTATTTAACTTCAATCCTGCTAATTAAATACAAAATTTTGAAAACTTTTGGCTACATCAAAATCTTAATATATTCCAAATCAAAGAATTATTTGGCCTTACTTCAAAAATGCAAGCATTACTTGATTGTTAGCTTTACAATTATCTTTCATCTATTATAACTAAATTATATACAAAAAAAAAATAAAAAAATAAATATTATTAACAATTTAATAACTAATCAAAGTGCTAAAACAAAAATTTAAAAACAATGTCATGATTATGATAAAAAGATATTGAAAACTCTAAGTATAAATGTTCTCAATATTATGCAAAACTTCCTATACTTGCTAAAACTTAACAAGAAAAAGAGCAAACTATATCTGATAAAAAAGAGAAAGATTCAATTAAGCTATTAACTTTTAGATCCTATCAACTTAAAGAAAGTAAATCAGGTAAATTGGATGAATTTACAAGTTTAATAAGTATAACACAAAATTTGAAACCTCAAAACAGTATTAAAATACTTAATGTTCTTGTATCTAATTCTTTACTAATTAATTCAAATTCTGTTAATAATGTTCACAAAAATTTTAATCATATTTAAAATATTAGTAAAGTTAATAATAGCAATCAAAAATAAATTGTAATAGTTTGTAATAGTCTTTCTTATCATTATGCACAAAATTTAAATCTGAATATTCAAAAATTATTTTGTTACCTGGTCTATTTCATAAAGAAATAAATATATTAAAAGCTTTCGTGAAATTGAATTGGTAATAAAAAAAAAGAATTTATATTAGTAACAATATAGTAAAAAATTTAGACCTGCAGGTTGATAGTAAAGTTGTTATGCTCCCAGGTCGCTAATTGCAAGGTTGTCAGTTCAAGTCCAATGAGGGACAAAAACTGAGTTAGGACCATGATTGTTAATTAATCACAGCTAACTGTGAACTATGAAAATAGAAAGATCTTCAGTACCCAGATCCTTAAATAGCAACAGACCTAACATAAGAAGGCCATGATAATTAGGAGGCTGAGGATAATAATAGAACAAAGGAATCCCTGATTAGGAATAATCTCAGTAAAATTCCAGGGTAATAGAAACACAAAAATTGGTATATAAATAGTACTATAAAAAATGTATACAAATAATGTAAAATGTAAACAGGATCCTAATAGAAGGTCCTGTGAACTTGAAATATGAACTAATAAAACAGCTATCAACTGCGGCCTACTAGCGACCATGCAATGGGAAAATTAAAAATAAAAAAAAATTTACTATTTTACTTAATAATTAACTATTAAATTACTAACCAATATAACTAATTTTGTTATATTACAAGAATATCGACTTATAAGATTTTATACAATGCCAAGAATATAGAACTAAAAATCAGTTAGCTTATTTTAAAAAATATGCTAATTACTATAAAGTATGAGATTTGGTATGCAATATTTACTGGCATGCAATGACAATAAAATTAATTTGGTCATACATTGCTTCAGTCTTTAATCTATTTATTAACAGTTTTCTTGATTAGACTAAAAATCAAAAAATAAACTATATAAATTAAAATATAAACAGGTATTTAATAATAAATATTTAAATTTAAATTCTAATTACTAATATTAAATTATGTCTAAATCTTTTGATATTTACAAGCAATTATAAACTTTTGTATCAGTGTTAGATATAATTAGTCTTTGCTTAAATCAGCAGCATATAGAATATTTGCTTCTATCTGGTCTGCAAAACAGCATCCCATTTACTAAACAATTGAAGTAGCTGAAGAAGAACAATTGATACATTTTTGTCCTAAAATTTTCAAATTATTAAATGTAATTCTGTTATAGCATAATCAAAAAGATCAAATTAATATCAGAAATTAGATACTATACTTAAAGAGATAAATAAAACATTAAAAATGCCAATTTTACCTATATTAGCTCAAAAGCATTAGAAAATAGTTGCAAGAAATTGTATAAAATTTATAAAGGTAAGAATAAATAAAATAAATATAAAATATATAATATATTATTATTATTTGATATACTTAATATTTTTCTTCTTAATAAATATTATTTTAATAGTTATAAAAAAAATTATTCACTACAATAGGATATACAGATTCTGAAAGTTCAGGTCCACAAAACCATTTAGACTATGAAAAGGAATTATAAAGGTTTTAAATTCAGTTAAGAAAAATGGATTTTTTAAATCCAAATCTAAATAATAGCTTTGATAGTTTAAATAAGAATAATAAATTAAGTATACAAATAAAATTCTTTAGTAATAAAGCCCAAGTTTAATATATAAAATATATTAAAAGAAAGCTTGACTTAATTAGTACTAAACCTATTTGATCTATTCTTGTTACTTATAATGAAACATAATTACAATCAATTGAAAGTTTATTAAAGAAAGATAAAGTAAAATTCATAATTGAAACATTAGTTGAATCTCTAAATGAAGCCAAATGATTATAATTTAGAAGATTAAGATTAAAAAGAAAGAAAAAATTATTATTAATTTTGCAACAGGTTCAAGATCTTTATAATGCAACTGATGTTAATACAGCTAAAGAAACAATATAAAAAAATAGCTAAAAAATACTCTAAAAATTAAAAAAAAAGTTGGTTATTTAAGTAGTTATAAATAAATAGCATTTTCAAATATAAAATAAATAAAGCTACAAAAAAAAAAAATAGTATGTTATACTTATTTGATGTTGTATAGTTGACATTTCTGAATGTATGCAGTAAAGGTGCATACAGCATTTCTTAATCCAGCTTCTTGATTCAGTATAAAAAAGTTTTACAATAAAACCTTCATAAATGTACTCTTTATATAGCTATAAGTGCGCATCTTTCCTAAAATGCACATTCAAGTTCTGTTCCAAATATATACATGCTTTTATAAATGCACTTTTTCTTGTTAATCTCTAAGTGCATGTTGCTAAAATTTGGCCTTAAGAGTGTGCACTTATAGAGTTTTTACTATATACTAATAAGCATATATAGCATTCTAAAAGTGCTTTTTTTGTTATCTGATAATCTATTATATATATAAAATTTTATAGTCAATTAAATTTAATTTTATGAATAAGTTCTAAAAAATTGTATAATGTTAATCATCATAGATCATATTTATATTTAGTAATGCCAAATTTGAAAAAACACCAGACTGTATTAAGATGTCTAAAGTGTTATAATATAAGCTTAACAATAGTACAAATAAAGTATTAAATAGGAATTTTAATAGAAAGTTGATCAATAAATAGAATATAGATAAGATTATAAGAATTATTAGTTAAGAATATTAAAAAAATAATATTTGATAGGGGTGTAGTGACCTAGTAAAGTGGTCAGGTTGTTAACCCTCCAAGTGGTAGGTTGGGTGTTCAAATCCCATCGACAGTGAAAATTTAAATAATCACCTATGTAATATTCATATTATAGCAACTGTTACTAATGATTAGGTTAGGATACCTGTAATGATGATCACATCAGCATAACTGGCAGGTCATAGGGCATCTGTGTAAGTATGGCATTATACAGAGGAATGCAAACTGACAAATCAGGTAGTGCAAAACATTAGATAAGTTCTTGTGACCATGTAAATTTATTAAAATTAGGTAACAAGAAGTCTATTTGGGAAAACCTGAGTAAAAAGGTAGCTAAATCTTTAATGACCCTATTGTAAAGGCTAGCCTGGGGAAACAGATACCAAGGTCGCAGTATCTAATTATAGTAGCCAGATAGGCAAGAACCTCTAGGTTGGAAGTCTCAAGAGTATCACTAATCAGGCAATCAGAACGAACTAAAGGAAAAGAATATCAGGCCAACCTAATATACTGATAGACTGGTTGTAGTTCTATATAGGCTATTTGAATTGGAAGTTTGGTAAAAAGGCAGGTAAAAAGGCAAGAGTATATTAAAGTACTGGGATTATACTATGAAGTAGATAATAGGGTTTAAGTGAACTCTATAAGGGCATAGTGGTTTAATGATCAGCTCTAACTGCAAGTGTTAGTTCTGCTATAGCAATATCTAGGTCAGCTGTAAAAATAAGTACAGAAGGCTCTGGAGGGTTTACCTTGAGAATAAATTAGTTCTAAGGTTGAGATGATGATCTGGGCATCTGAATATGATCTAGTAAGTTAATACAGATTACAGATTTAGAGAGTTTAAAGTAGAACACTTAAGCAGAGATATTAGATATGGCAATTGGTAGGAAACCTTCAGGCAGACTCTTTAAATAAGTAATATAGAAAAGTTACATGTGTAGCCAATTGTTCTCTCTTCTGTAGTAGTTTATTGAACCACAATACTGATAAGTGATTAATAAAAGGCAAAAGACCAAAGAGGTCATCTTAATAAAAAAAAATAAATAAATAAAAAATAATAATATTTGGTGATTGTGAACAAGTTGGTCAACAAAATTATTAAATAGATTATTTTGGTATACAGTAACTTTATAAAAAAATAAGTTGAATATTATATAAGTTAATAAAGTTAATAAGAGTATACTAAATAGAGAAGTATAGAATATAAGTATAAGAGAATTTAGATACTAATAAGCAAATATTATAATATTTAGAGATTACTAATTGTAAGTTAATAAATATATAAACAAAACAGTTTTTAGAAGCAGTAATGATTATTGAAAAGATAACAAAGATTTTAGCTTTAAAAAAGCATAATCAGAGTTTAACTTGTATTTAAAATGACTAAGAAGTTGTAAAGTTATTTACTTAAATTTAATCTGTATATATGAAATATAGAAAAGTATTAAGATCAATAACAGAATAATTAGTATAGAATAAAATAATAAATAGATTGTGTAATTAAAGTTAGTAATAGACTGTAAACTATCAATAAATTGGTCTAGTTGAAAGATACAAGGCAGTTTTTATAAGTTTTTTTTTTTTTTTTTTTTTTTTTTTTTATAGTTAAAGTCTCTGCCTATAGGAATCAATATTTTTATTCATGTATTTGGGCATGGGTACCTCCAGAGGCTTCTTTACATTAAAGGTTACAACTAGTTATATGTGTACTTTTGGTGCCTAGTTTAAGTAGTTTGTCTATATATTACTATACAGGTTCTATACTAGGTGCCATACTTGCAAGCCAACTATAAGTCCTGCCTATTTAAACTCTCTGTATATGCAGTTTATCATGTTTTACAATGACATCTTCAAGGCTATATTTATCCAAAGTATCTAATGCCTTCAAGGTTCTTTAAGACTAGTTTATTCTTGACAAAAAACTTATTAGAACCTTCTATATTCTACATATAGCTAACCTAGTTTTATATAATTTACTATAGTTGTCTAATATTTGCAGTTACAGGGGTTACCTGTTTAACTACTATGTTACATTATTTTTATTCTTATAAAGTTCACTAAAACCTCAGTACCTATCATTACAACATTTTTATTATTATTTTCTACTAACTACTACTTAGAACTGACAGAACTTCTCTGACTTTTAATCCTGATAGCCTAGTATAATATACTTATATATCCTTTTTTTGATAATTCTGGCAGCCTGGTTGGTTATGTGCTTCTCTATATATCTTGTCAATCTGTTTATCTACTTATCTCTTTGAGATGTTTTACGAACTTCTATCAGTCTGATTATATTTTTGAAAGTTCATACTACCTCTTTACTCTGGAATTTCCTAGTAGGCTTCTAACTCTTTGGTTTCTTAGTTTACTGCATTTAATGGTCTTATTATAGGTTTGCACTGAAGCCTTATATAAACACTGGCTATACATTTCTCTATATACATGTAATATTATATTTCACATAGATGTTCCAAGCTCCTATTTGAGATAGTATGACTTAAGGTTACAGATATACTAATTCAACTAATTATCAAGAGACAGTTTGCTATAATATAGGTATAATTTTTCAAATTTCATCATAGGTGGAATTTGAATACTAGACCTGTTATTAGGAGGATGACAACTCAACTACTATACTATGATCACCATTTTCTTTTTTTTTTTTTGTTATGCCAAAGTAAAAATTTTATTAGATAATATTTATCTTTTTTGTACTAACTATTTTGATAATACTGTTGCTAATTGTATCTTATTATTCATTTAATCAGTTTTTTTTCTTAGTACTTTTATTTGTTTGTAAAAAGTGTTATAGATCTTGAATACTATTTTTTTTTCTAATACTAAATCAAGTTCTTATTTGTATTTTTTTAGTTTTTTTTAGATGCTTTATTATAAAAAAAAACTATTTTTTTATAGTTCTCTTTTCTTATTTCTGCTGCACTGCATGGTGTAATTAGATAACTTAATTTTATTTTTGCTATAACTGCCTTGTAATCACTATTTGTGCAAGTATTTATTTCTTGAATTTTGGCTTTATAAAGACTATCTGCTAGTTCTTCATTGACTCATATATAATCTATTCTTGATTCAGATTTACATCCAGACTATAAGAACTCTTTTGTATTTAGGTTAATTAATCTAAATGCATTACTAAACTTTTGTCTTTTCAATTAGCCAAGCAATAGAATTTGTTTTGCTTATTTTTTCTTTTGATTTGATAATCTATCTAGGTTTATATTTACTATTATATTAAAGTCTCTTATAATTACTATTTGAGTTCTTAATAATTTTTTAACATATTTGTTAATTATTAACTTTTGAATTGTTTTCTTTTTTCTTTGTTATTTAGTATTAAGTAGGTCATTATAATTATAATTTCAATTTGCTTAAAGAAAAAGCTAGCAGAGATCATATATTTATTTGTTTTCTCTATCTAATTTAAATGTTTTTCTTATTTTTTACTAATTAATAATCCTATCTTCAAGTCTTTCTTCTTGTTTAAACTTGCACTTGACTAAACACTTTTGTATTTTTCTAAATTCTTTCTTAAAAAGAAACCTTTTTTGGCTAAAATGTTTGTTTCTGCTAAACCTACTATACTTAGTTTATTATCAATTATCTATTTATAAAGTACTTCTATTTTTTGGCTATTTGTTTTAAGTCTATTAATATTATATATTACTAGATTCAACTTAGTTCTTTTATTTTCATATATATTTTTTTTATTTTTAATAGCTCATTTTTATTATCTTCTATTTTATTGTTCAAATATAAAGTATTTTTTGGTAATATTTTGATTTTTTTTTTGTTTTGCAATAAGAAGCTTGACTT